TCCAAGAGGGTATTATTGCTTTGAAATATATATTTATTATTCAACATTTTAGATTTTTGGGGATATAGAGAAATAAATAAAAAAGTAGGTTGTGCTAGAATATAAAATAAGTATTTAAAAATTAAAATCAGAAATTTATTATATACCTGTGTGAATACGACGATGGTTTTGTAAATATGATGATGCTCGAAAAGTTTTTTTACAAAATTCACAAACATAATTCTTTTCTCCAGTATGTATTCGACGATGGACAATCAATGAGTATTTACGAGCAAAGTCCTTACCACAAAATTCACATTGAAATTGTTTAGATTCAGAGTGTAATGAAGCAATATGATACTTAAGATCACCCCACTGTCGAAAATTTCGTCCACACCATTCACATTCGAATGGCTTATCTCCAGTATGCAGCCGATTATGTACCTAAAATACAGTTAGCAGTTCAATTTCAATTAAGTATTTCATATTTACATTATTTAAGTAATATTAACCTTAAGGGCACTGCTGGAGAAAAAACTCTTAGGGCATAGTTTACAACTATGTGGTCGTTTACCGGAATGTGATCTTAAATGATATAGCAAAGAATTACGATGATTGAATTTTCTTTTACATTGGGTGCATACAAGATTCTTTGAAATATTTTTTTTCATAATTTGTTCTAATTCATCTGTATCATCTTCCCAAGTATGTTCTGCTCGACTGTTTTCACCATTGTCACCATTTCCATTCAACAAACAATTATTTTCTTCTTTTGGTTTAATCATAGTATCTTCATGATTTGTAATACTTTCACCATTGTACTCCCAACTACATAACAAATTTAAGAGTTTAAAAAGACATTATATTTGTAATTATTAGTTTTATTACATTTGATCTTGTATTGGTTGCTTTTCATCAGTTTCTGATTCAGTATCAGCTACACCGGGTACCATATGGCGAATACCTTCCATTAAATCTTCTGGATCAGAAAACTCTTCCAAACAGTCCTGTTTAACAGTAACAAGAGTTGCCGGTTGTGGATGAACAGATGCCATATGAATTTCTAATGCTTTTAAACGTCGAAAATTTCTACCACATAGATGACATGAAGGAAATGGTTGCTGAAGTTGTGCAGCTAATATAGACCCATCAGATGAAAATATGCAATGTTTATCATCTTCCATACTCTCTTCTTCTGTTAACTAAAAATGTATATAACTATTATAGCATAGTTTTTTTTATTAATAATATTATAAGGATATTTCCATACAATAGGTTGTTTGCTTAAAGCAAACAATAAAATATTAGAAATTAAATTTTTTCTTATTGCCAATTAGCATATCTTAGAATGATCTTTGTAAGTTCTTTGGTTAATGATCAACATTACGTTTTTGCACTAAAATGTAATTTTTTATATTTAGTTTTGGTTAATAAACCATTAAATAATGTTATAGTGAGTTTTTACTCTTTAAGTTTACTTTTCCATTATTACCAAATTTTTAAAATAAAAAAAAAAAGTTTTTAGTAGGAAATTAAAAGATAAATATTATGCCGTTTTCAAATTTGTACAACTTTAAATTTTACACCAGGTAGCGCTAACATAATAAAACCAATAAAGGTACTTATATGTTATTTTATCAGAAAAAAACAGAGAATACCTCATTTCATTTTTTATTAGGTACCTATATAAACCACAGATGCATATGTATATATTTATATTTATATATATAGCTGTGATATAAGCATAATAAAGTTTAATCTTATATTTATGTAATTATACCCAAGAAATGATAAGTATTTTGTGTAATACATTATGACTAGAGCTATAATCTATTTCACGAAAGAAATGTTCCGTGTTTTGACAAAAACTGGATATTTTTGTGCATTCCTACGCCACTTCATGCTGGTTTGTAGCCCAGTCTACCTGTAGAAACGGTACCTTTTTTTGTAAGACAGATTATAGTAGATGTCACACATAATAATACTATTTTTATTCTGAGGTACAAAAAAAAAAAAAAGCATTTGATAATTAAATAATAAACTTCTAGCTAATATGTAGTTACTTCAAGCTAACTAGATTTAAATATGCAAATAAATATATGACCTTACTCTATAACTCTGAAGTGGAGGAAGATCATGAAGTTCTGGTTGGTCTTCAATAGTTTCTTCAATATATTGATTTTCATTATTATCTGTTGATTCTTGAACACTATGATTTTGATAATTTACATGATGTGGTGAAGTACCAGAGTCTGTAGTAACTACAATTACTTTACTTCGTTGAGGCTCATAATGAAATTTTAGATGTTCAAAAAACTTTATTTGATGTGTAAAATGTTTATCACAGATTTCGCATAAGAATGGCATTCGACCACTAACTTTTTTAGGAGCATGAACTGGTTTATGTGCCTACAAACATATTTGGTTAAATTTATATATTTACTTGATATAATAATTTTCAAAAAAAATTGATTACAGTAACTGCAGATTGAGAATTAAACTGTTCACCACATTGTTTACATTTGTAACATTTTGGATGAATACTTCTCATAGGAGCTGGGGCAGATTCTCTTTTTCGAAAACGTTTTTTATGTGGTAAATTATTTTGTATTTCCGCATGGTAATCAGACTCTGAAGTTTCTACTTCTATTAAATTTTCTGAACTAATAATCTGGATAAAAGATATTTAAATAAATATATGTAAAAGTAAAATATATTTATGTATAATACTTGTTGATTATTTATATGACTTGAAGTTTGTGATGAATGTTTATTGTTCGTGTTTAAATCAAAGTCAGTACTATATAGATAGCTGGTCATAAGATGAGTGTCATGGTGGCCACCATCAACAAGAGATTTGTTCTGTTGGGCAAGCTCAGCAGCTAGTTCATTAGCTAATCGGTGGTCATCTTCAGTGAGAGCTGTAGATCCATCACCAGATAATATATCACTTGTATCATAATATCCAGTTGTGTGATGGGACAATTCTCCATTCTCATCTTAAATTATATACATAAAGTTCTTTAGATGTTATAATTTAAGTTAATGGAAATACCTTACCGATACGGAATTCTTCTGGCAAATTATGTTGGTCACCAAGTTGTTTACTATTTTCTTCAGATACATGTTGATGACCATGTTCAGTAATATACTGATCTGCAGTTTCTAAAAATTCTCTTGATCTCTCATCCAAGATATCATTATCCATAATTGGTATTTAATATAATGGTAACAGTTACCTATTAAACATAAAACTAAGATAATGGAATTTCTATTGATATGTTTGTTTATAAAATGTTATAATAACAAAATATATTTAATAGCTTATTTAAAATCTACTTTCATAACATTTGATTGGATTCTGTTGATATTTATCTACTTTATGAATTGAGGATTCACATAAAATCATTTATAAAAAATATACTAGGTATCTACAAAAAAATTACTAAATCTGATCTAAAGTAAAAAAATGTATTGAAATTCAATAAATATAAGATAAGTTTAATATGATTAGATAAAAGTAATTATCAGGGTACTTGGAAATCTACTACTTCTTAATCTTTTCATACTTAAATTTGAATTAATAAATTTATATATAATGGAAATTATTTTGATTATATTGAGAATGGTGTTAACTTTGTATAATTAAACACTGATTATCAATTAATAGAAAAATTACAAATAAGCAATATTAAATTATTAAAGTACCTATTGTTAAAATTAATTTTTGTCAAATTTTGCGATCAATTATACATAAACAATGTACTAGACTCTACAAATATTAATGCCAATAAAAGTTTGTGGTATTTGTTACTTGTTAGTTGCTATATTTCTTCAAACTAGTTTCATATATTACATATCTGAAACATTCAGGTATCTAAACACCTAGTGAATGTTAGGTGGCTATTACTTTTTTTGATATTCTGACACATAAATAATAACACATATCTATCAGCATGATCAGAACAAATTGATTATAGGGACAGTCTGTTGCAGAATCCATATTTTAGAATATACTGATCATTTATTTAGTCATTTGATAAACACTGGATACTGGTTTATAAAGGCAGAGTGAGAATATTAGGTCAATTGTTTAGAACAATACCTAGACATCTTCTATTATTATTATTACGGTGCAAACAAATGAATGAGAGAAACACTACAGATTGATTTTACTCACCAACGGCGGCGGTAATGCGACAGACCGAAAACAGTAATCTGGAGACAGACACTTATTGGTCGTCTAGTGTATGTACAACTGTCATGCCACATCTTTCCACCCAAACGTCTGGTAGCGATCCGTCTGTAAGCTGCTGTGTTTGGCAATCCGACATCGCTTGTGGTAACAATGGGTTGAGGGTATACCAAGATCGGAACAAATTAATGGTAGAGAAAACTTCGAAAAATCACGACTAGTGAATGTCGTGTGATGTGCAGGTGCTTAGAACGAATGCATCGATTTGCAAATCAAATGTTTAACGGGTAAAAATAGATAATAATGATAAAATTGTGTTATTGTATCGACAAAAAATACATAACAACGCAAGAACCGTATTCGAGAAGTGAGGATATTGAGGAATATTTAATTTGATTTGGTCGCGTCGAAGGGGTCTACTGGTGATATTTCTGCGGTATAAGAGAAAAACATGTATAGCATATGAATAATAAGTATTTAAATAAATATATATTATATGTTGTATACGTATTTTGCATATAAAACGACACTCGTAGATGGTATAAAACTATCGACTAGTAACAATTATAAAAGTATTAAGTGACTAAGTAATGTAAATAATAAATATTGTAATAATTTAGAACGTCGTAGGTGATATACTTAATAAAAATAATAATAATAATTATTATTATTAAAGTATTTGATCGTCGTGATCATGAGGGGGAGGGGATTTTATGGTGATGGTCAGGCGGGGGAATTACACACGCTACTAAAGGCATCTAGTGTACAAATCTTGACAGTCAACGCGGCCCTACGATATACAGATACAGAATAGTAATAGTATTATATCACGATTGATAATCGAGCAACGCCGCGATTCGGGTCAATCCATCCAAGACTTGAGACACCAGACTACTCGATTATAATCGTCTGATGTACCTGAGAATTTTTATCCGGTCGTCGTGATGACGACGGAGCTTTTTACACTTACCGTGCCCGTTGCCGTTTGATCGTCTAGACTTCGCTGTCGGCCAGCGAAACTTCGGCGTGTTGTTTGTGTATTTTTCTCGACTAATCCCTGCGTCTAAGATGTGACGCGGTGCAGACACCTGTTGCTAATTTTCTATTGAAAATCTCGGTTGTTAAGACTTTTCATGTCGTCGTCCCGTGATAATATGGCTACGATGGACAACATACTCGTTGGTACGTACATCGGTTGGTTTACTTCACTGATTTTTGACAAATGTGTCTTTGTCGTCTTTAGCGGTTGGTTCTTCGATCTGAGGGTTACTTTTGCTTGCGAAGTATTCTTTTGTTTACATAGACTTATGTGGCTACAGAAGATAAATTCAATTTTTTTTTTTTTAATTTCATTATTAAATATCACTACTTTTAAAAGTGAATTTACAATATTATTGATCGACTGTAAGTGGTATGGTAAAAAAATTTGTAATTTTGAGAAATATGATAAACTTAAAATTATTTTGTGAATAGCCGATGTTGTATGAGTATGACCATGATAGAGTCATAAAAATATGTATCTATGTATAATGATTAATTATTCATATAGTTTTGTTTACTGTTTAAATGGAATAACTTAAAAAATTTTGATTGTGAATACTATTTAAAATAATCTATCTTAAATTATGATAATAATAAGTTACAATTTTATATAAATATATATGTTTAACATTGAATACTTGAAGATATGTCTATAACTATTAGATTATTTAGGTGTTTAGCCAAATAGACTTGATAAACTAAAAATGTTTGACTGCCTATTTCTTTAAAAATTAATAGGTAAGAAAATTTAATTTATACTTTGTGAGTATGTATTATGTGTGTTAATAGTTTTGTGTTTTATAGTCAACTTATTTATAAGTAGTACTGTATTTTATTGAAAATATAATACCTATTTACTTAATAAAATTAATGTCACTTAATAAATAATAAAATTTTAAAATGATAATAAATTTAGTTTCTTTAAAACTTATGAATAGTATACTTAATAAATTCTATTGTATTATTTTTCGTTTTAAAAAATGTCTGTGTGTTTTATATACTAATGTTGTCTTACTAATGTGTGGTTATATTTACCTGGCTTAAGATTGAATAGTTAGATACCTAGTTACTATTTTAATGAATAACTTTATTATAAATAGATGAACGTGAAGATGTTCAAAAGAAAACATTTACTAAGTGGATAAATTCACAACTGTCAAAAGTAAATTTCTTTATTTTTAAAACTTTTAAACAATATTATTATTAAAAAAAATATTTGATTTTAGGAAAATCATGAAGTCATATCTGACTTATTTTTGGATTTACAAAATGGCACTAAATTACTTTATTTGCTAGAAATTTTAACTGGCATTCAAATTGTAAGTAATTGTATATTGTGTGTTTATTTGATTTTTTGTTTGATATATATTGTGTGTAGAAACCAGAAAAAGGATGTATGAGAGTTCACCATCTGAATAATGTAAATAAAGCTTTACAAATATTGGAACAAAACAATGTAAGTATTATTAAACACATTTTTCTTATTAATGAATAAAGAACCTTTCTATAACATAATATTTTCAACATTTTTTTTTATGACTATAAATTGATACAATTTATTAATTTTCAGGTAAAATTGGTGAATATAAGTAGTAATGATATAGTTGATGGTAGTCCGAAACTAATTTTAGGATTAGTTTGGAGTATTATATTGCATTGGCAGGTAAATTAATTATTTGTTATTTGTATTATAATTTTAAATAATAGCCAATGTTTGATAAATATGACAATGAAATAAAATTTAAGCTATAAATATTAATTTATTAACAGTTATTATGTAAATTATTAGGTTGATTGTCATTTGAAGGAATTAATGTCTGAATCACAACAAACAAACTTAGAAAAGACACTGTTAGCATGGTGTCGAAAAAATACAGAAGTAAGGATATCTTAACTAAATATTTTATTCTAGGATATAATTTTAAATCATATGGTAACTTTCAGGGATATGGTGTTGACATTAAAAATTTTACTACAAGTTGGTCAGATGGATTAGCATTTAGTGCATTAATACACAAGTTCAGATCTGATCTTTTGGATTATGATTTTGTGTTAAAACAGCATCCGAATGCTAGGCTTGAAAATATATTTTCTGTTGCTCATCAGAATCTAAATATTGAACGTTTATTAGATCCTGAAGGTATTTTACTTATTATTAAATATTTATAATTTATATAGTTAATTATTCTTTTGTTTAATTTATTTAGATGTTAATACATCTATACCAGACAAAAAATCTGTTATGATGTACGTTATGTGCTTGTTTCAACGATTATCTCAATACTCTGATGAAATGGGAGCTTCAAAGACTGATATACAAGTAAGGATGAAAAATAATACATTTTTAATCATATGCTAATAAAATTTAAATTATTTATTTAGTATGAAGATAAATTCAAAAAGTCTGATGAAAGGCCATTGAGTATGTTAACAAATATATCAGTTGAACTTGGTGGTTACCAAACTGCATTGGAAGAAGTTTTAACATGGTTACTAGAAGCTGAAGATCGTTTACACCAATCAGAAAAAACATCTGAAGATCTGGAGGGTGTTAGGGAAATATTTCACACGCATGAAGTAAATTAATTTATTGTTTTACATAAAAGATTAAAAGATAAGATTAATTAATTATTGATTTTAAATTTTTGCTTGAAGAATTTTCTTATTGAATTGTCACATCATCAAGAAGGAGTTGGATCTATATTAGAAGAGGGAGCTAGAATGTTAGCTGATGGTGGTTTAACTGAGGAGGAAGAACAAGAAGTTCGTATTCAAATGAAATTGTTAAATTCACGGTGGGAAAAATTAAGAATTACTGCTATGGAAAGGCAAACTAAGTAAGTGGAATTTATCTTTATTTATACAAGGTGATTATTGATTTCACCGTTACTATTGTTGATATGTAGAATACACGAATCTTTAATGGGAATTCAGCAAAAACAATTAGATGAGTTACGTTTGTGGCTAACACAAACTGAAGATCGTATATCACATTTGTCACAATCTGCTAAAATGGATGTTGACTGTTTACGTTCACAGCTTGAAGAACATTCTGCACTTAGAGCTGATTTAAGGAAACAGCAGTTATCAGTTGATTCATTATCTAATCTTGTAGTAGTTATAGATGAAAATACATTCCCTGATTCTGGTAAGTATTTTTGAGCTATATTTTTTAGACCAGTGGTCATTTGGGTGAAGGTAATAATTTTGACCAAAAACATAATAGTCCCTTTGGACGATATCATTTGTACCGTTTGGGCGAGTGAAATTATTTTTTGACTGTAAATTGATACCTACCTATAAAATAATATTATTAATGTCTATGCCAATAATTTTAATAATCCTCGCCCAAACGGTATACATCTGTTCGCTCAAACGGTATTTTTAGTTGAATAAACTCTCGCCCAAATAGTAAATATTTATTCACCTAAACAGACTAATGTTCTACGTCTTTTTTTTTTATTTCTAGATTAATTTAGATATTAAGTCTATGACTAATCCTAATCTAGTCTTACTTCTAATATTATTTTTTTAATGAAAAAATATGTTTTATGAGTTTATTAGATTTATTGTTTAATATTAGTTTGTTTTATCCACAAATATTTTTAACATATTAATTCTTTGAGAAAATTATTAACAATACACAGATGCTACTCAATGAGTGGACGAGAAATATTATAAATATCAGATTATTGATATAAATATATCCTAAATAAGTGTGTATTACAGATATATTTAAATTATGAGACTTGAAAGTTAGTAAAAGGAACTGTGTCAAAGAACTAAAAATCAAAATAAATTTAATGTTTAAATATAAAGTATATTGATGATGGGAATTATGAAGACTAACAAAATAAGCAATTTTTTTTAAATTTTTTATCTACACAATTTTTTGTAAATGCTAATTAAATTAATGTACATACATATAATTATTTATTTTTTTTCCATTAAATTTGAGAGCCATAAAAATATTGTAAAAATACGATTTCTGTGAGATGAAAATATTTAAATACCTCTAGTATATTATAATTAATAAGTCGACTTATAACATTAAACTTTATAAAATAAAGAAAAATATTGATGGTAAAAATATATAAATGTATCATTGCTGTTAAAAAGTTAGAAACCTACTCATATTGATATACTTTTTTGGAGTTGGATATTTAAATAATTTATTGTTAAAAAAATATTTTTATTTTTTTAAATAATATTTCATTTAATAGTACACGTACAGATGGAAGATGAATTATCTGCATTGGGTGAGCGTTGGGCTCATATTTGTAAGTGGGCTGAAGAATATGGTGTTAAGTTACAGACATTATTAATGAAATGTAGTCGTATTACGGAACAACTATCGTGGTTACAATCATGGTTTGATTCAAAAGAAATAAATCTTAAACACATGGAATCTAAACATGTTACAGAAGTGGCAGAAATTTTGGATAGAATCAAACAGTTACAAGTAAAATATTTAACTACTTAAAAATAAAAAGTTTATTGAAATAATAAATTATATGTTTTTTATTATAGACTTTACGTCACCAAATGTCAAGTCAACAAAAAAATATTATTCATCTTCAAACTAAAATTCAGAATTTGGAAGAAGAATTTTTGTATACTGAGAATTGTCCTTATTCAGAAAAAATAGAAACTCTACAAGACCGTTGTGATGCTTTAGTACAAATTATTGAAATACAAGCTCAAAGAGTATGTTTATTTAGTTATTCACAAATAAACTAGTAATTTATTATAGAAATAGAAATTAGAGGAAAATTATTGTATTTTCTATTTCTATGTTAATAATTTAAACTGATAATATGCGATAAAGTATACAATGATAATAACAATAAGAAAAAACCAATGTTTTTACTTGTAAAAAAGTTATAACTTATAAGTAATGAATTAATCTAAAAACATATATTCAATAACAATAATATTGGGATTTATTTTTATAAACTTTTTGATTTAAATTTTAGATACAAGATGCTGGTTTTGAATTTGATTTAATTAGCAATTCAAATTTAGAAAAACAAGATGAAAAAATTTTGGAAGACAGTTCATTTGATGGTAGTTTAAATTTGTCAGATATTGAGGTATGTATATTTATTCTTTTTGTATTTAATATATTTTTATTTCTTTTTATAATGTAATATAAATTTTAAGGAACTTGGCTGGAAGCGTAGAAGAAAAGGCGGATCATTTCAAGAAGATGAATATGATAATGCTACATCAAACTTGAGTAATTGGTTAAAGAGGACTAAAAAATTGCTTGATGAACCTTTAGAAGTAGAAGAGCAAGCAGCTTTATATAAAGATATTATGTCTGAAATTGACAGTCAAAAATCTCAGTTAGATTTTGCTAGTAAATTTATTACAAACAATGAAAGTAAGATTTATTATATTAATTTTATTTTAATTATCAAAATTAACATTACTTAATAAATAATTATTGTTTCTCTAGGTACTGATACTCCATTTCCCAAACTAGATCATTATAATACATTATGTACAGAATTTAGTGATTTGGAAATTACTTTAGCTACATTCAAAAATAAAATAAAATATAACCTTGAAAAAAAACAGACATCAAAAGAAATGAATAATTTAAAATTAATACTTGATGGATATGCAAAATGGCTAAATAGTGGAAATTGTACATTTGAACAAATAAAGGTTAGTAAAAGTATTAAAATGTAACTGTAATAAATTAATAACATCTTTAATTAAATAACTCAATTTTAGGTAAAATTAAAATCATTAAAATCTCTGGAAGATCGTATTACTAAACTACAAACACATAGTAAACTATTAGATCCCAATGATTCTATAAGAAATGATGTTGAAAAATGTATATCTAGTTGGAGCACTTTGAATGAAAAGTATGTAATCAATTCAAAAAAAAAATATTTTACATTTTTCAATATATATTTTTTTTAGATTTTCTGCTTATGAAATACAAGCAAAATTATCACAAGAAACCAATTCTAACACAAAGTTTAAAGAATCTAAAGAAGAGCTTATGGGCTGGATTAATAAATTAGAAGGAGTATTATTAGGTGAACCAATTCTTATGAATTATTCAAAAGTTTTGACAAATCAATTAGAAAAATTAAAGGAAATGCAGAAGTCTGTAAATGATCGCCGTGATACTTTAGAAATGGTAAATACACTTGGACAAGACATTATAGAAAAGCTAAATAATGATATAGCTACAGAAAGGTTAACTGAAGATCTTCAAGATTTAAATACACGATGGAGTGATATTCCAGTGTTATTAGATGAACGAATTTTAAAGTTACAAAAAGGTATTATCTATTAAGCGTTTAATAATAATCCAATTTGCATTATTTACTAACTAAACCATGTTTATTTTAGATTTGATTTTAGTCTTAGAATTAGAATCCAATTTTAGAACATTAGAAGATTTAATGGAACAAAGTGAAGATCTGTTCAATTATTATAATTCTCAAAATGATCAACCAGATTTGAAAATGATAAATGTATGATAATATTTTCTTATTTTTCATCATTTATTTATTGAAACAATTTTGTCAGTCTTTAATACAGATTGTCAAAGTCTTATTTTTTGGGAGGGGTAGAATGTATCTAACCCACTACTATCGCTTTCTCTAAGAAAATTTTTCGTGTATGTGGATCTCATTCCCAGTAGAGTGGGTCCAGCATATCTCATGACAATCAAATAACTTAAAAAATTGTGAAGTATTATTTAAATAAATTGATTACTTATTTATAGGATGTCTGTGATTCTGTTTCTCAGTTATATGAGAAACTGCATGGTGATATTATAAATATACTTGAGTCATCAGTAGATCCAAAGTTTAAGCTTGACATAAATCAGAAATTAGAATCTATTAAAGAAAAATTAAATACAATTGTGAAATTTAAAGAAGATATTGCTATTGAAGGATTAAAAACTATAGAAAAAGTAATTTAAGTGTAGATACAGAAGTGCACTTATTATATATATATTTTAGTTTATTTCAAATTCTATAGTTTTAATATATTATTGATTATTAATTACTATTATTGCTTCAGGATTTTACTGAAGTAAAAAAATGTGTATCTGAAGTGGAAAAATGTCATTCATATCGAGAGAATGATCCAGTAGGTTCAGCTGGTGAACTTATAAAATTAAAAAATAAATATCACACTTTGCATGACAAACTTTTGGAAAAAAAACCAAAATTAGAAAAACTTGGTGAGTATTTGTGCTATTTATTTTTATTGATTTACTTAAAAATTATTTTGTGTAGAAATCAGTCAAGATGATGACGTTAAAATGTTAATTTTAAAGTGGAATAAAGTTTATGATGGTGTGCAATTAATAAAAAATCGTTTACAGCAAGATGTACAACTTCACTCTGAGTTTAAAGGTAAGTTACTTCTGTTATTGATTGGTGGACTAGTTTTAATCTGTTTTTTAACGTTCCCTACTAAAACATAAATTTATTTTCAAACTCTTTAAGAATATAACTTAAATTTTTTTTCTTTAATAAAACATAATCTGGTAGTAGTATTTTTTTTTTTTTATTAATTTCCATAGATTTAACTTGTTTTTAGAATTAAAATTATATTATACTTAATAAAAAACAAAAAAAAATTATTTAATATTATAAATTAGTGATATGGATATTGACATGGAAATCATTTATAAGTTATAATAATAAACAAAAACTAACAGTCATATAAAAAGTATGTACAGACCTAAGCTAAGCCTTTTGGTCATTTTTTTTTTTTTTTAATTCGTAGATTGGTCAAATGATGAAATATTTTTCCATTTTTCTCTATTCATTGCAACTCTTTAGTTCTTTATATGACTCTGTTCTTATATTCAACATAATTTTTTGTATAAACGATTGCCTAGGTCTTCCTCTTCCTAGCTTCCCTTCGGCTTTTTCCCTCAATTATAGTCATTATCTATATATTGTTCCTTATGAAATGTCCTATCCACTTTTTTCTTCTCTCACAATTGTCGTTCATATTGATCTTTTTTTCATTTATTCTCTTATAATATACTTCTTCATTAGTAACTCGATCTGTCCAAAGAATTGTGAAGACTGCTAGTACCATGTTTCTAAAGTCTCTATTTTTCTTCGGTCAGTTTTCAATATTATCCACGATTCAGCTACATATAACACCACCAAACATAGATATTCATAATTGTTAAGTATAATTTTTTATAATTTGTATTTGTTTGTATATAGTTTTAATGTCTCAAGAAAATGTGTGGCTTGATAAACTAGATAAATGTCTAAAAAAAAGTATAAAAACTATAGCAACTGACGCAGAAGAAATATCTGAAGAGCTTGATGTAAGTATTTATTTATAAACTGATTTAATTCAAATATTATTAATTTAAATTATGTACACCTATTTGATTTATTACACAAATTTTTTTAAGCTATTTTTGTTATTTAAAAAAAAAATGTTGATTAGTTAAATTAATAATTATAAATATTATTTTTAATATTTCATGTAAAAATCTGATTTAGGAACAATAATTTTTGATGAATTGATCCATGTTTTTCAAAATATCAAGCTTTTGTAAAAACTATTAATCATAGATTATGTTTATTTATATTTTTTAGGACTTAGAAAATTGCCTTAGAAACCATCCAGAATCTAGGGTTGATCGATTAAATGAAATCGGTGCGATTTTGTCAGATCACAATGTTATGGCATCTAGTATAAAAGTAGATTTAGCTAAAGTTACATCACGTTGCAAAAAGCTTACAACTCAAGTAATTTTTTTTTTTTTTGTTATTGTAATTAAGGTTCAATCTATTATTTTTATCTGGCATGACTGACTTTAAAAGAGCTTGCTTACGTTTTATTCACAATGTAAAATTAAAATATTACATTAATAATTCTTCAAAATGTTATGTTAAAGTCTATTTTAATTATATCAATCTCAATATATTATTAAATATTTTTTTCTTTTTTAATGTTATACATTTATATTAGGCAGAAGAAAAAGTTCAACGTTTAGAAGAAAGCATTGAACAAACACAAAAATCTGAAAATTGCATTGCCGAGTTTCAACAATGGCTTGAAACTACTGATCAACAACTTACATCTCGTATTCAAAATGATTTCTCACCACAAGATTTACCTAATGATGTTGAAGTAAGTTAATTTTATAATAAATTAATCCAAATCTAAATTGTTAATCAAAAATATTTTATATTATTTGATATGTATATGTTATGGCTAGAGTCTGAAATATAGCTAAAGTGCATTGGATATTGCGCATTCTAGCCATACTGGTTGGATAAAGTAAACACTTAACATTTAAAATCATAGTTTTGTACAAATTACCCGGCTAAAGTAGCTTTAGTCATTGTGTTATGGCTAATGTAATTATATTTTATTTCAATAAAATTAATTAATATATTTTAATAATTACATATTAATAAACTACATGGTATTCCTATATTAACCTAGTATTTTGAACATTAGCCATTGATTGATGGTAAAAAATATGTCTTTGTTAGGTGATCAGGGTTATCAACGTTGTGTGTGTAAATCAAATTGCAAAACAAATAAATGTAAATGTAAAGCATCAGGAATTTTATGCAATTCAAAATTTCATCAAAATTTACTATGTTCAAATAAATAGTAATATAAAAAATGTTATCTAATAAATATTATTAATTATATCTAATAAAAATAAATTTAATATTGCATCAAATTTAGTTTATCTATATTTAATTTTTAACATGTATGTCATAATACGATGGCTAAAGTTACTTTAGCCGATTAATTTGTACAAAACTATGATTTTAAATGTTAAGTGTTTACTTTATTCTACCAGGCTAGAGTGCACAATATCCGGATAATGTGCACTTTAGCCATATTTCGGACTCTAGCCGTAACATATATATATATTTACTGGATGGATGTACTTGGAATTTTTTGTAGAGTCATTGTGGTACAGGATTAGGAATCATTTCAAGTTTAAATTCTGTTTTATAAAATAATTATTTTTATTGAAAATATTTGTTTATTAAAATGTTCTAGTAAAATCACATATTCAACAAAATATCCAAGTTTAAAAAATTAACCACTAAATTATACATTTTGAATATTGATTAAAAACAATATGCAATATGACACAAGGAAAAGAAATTCAATTTTTATAATTAAATATTAAAAACAAAGAACACTTTAAATTATTAAACTACCTCAAGTTTATAAAGTAAAAACCAAGTTTTTTTTTTTTTTTAATTTTATTTCATTATAAGAATGTGTAGCTACAATATATACTGAAGAATTAGTAAAATACTTATTTTAGACATTATTATTTTTAATTATTTTTTTTTTTTTTTTAGTAGCTTTAAACCTATCTTGATATTTATATATCATTAAGATTGTTTTTTTATTTTTATATTTAATAATTTTTTTTAAATCCAAATTTTGAGTATTTCATAGAATTATTTAAATGAATTTCTTAATGTTATGCTAATAACTAAATACTTTTATAAATTAAGAAGTAATAAGTAGTATAATTGTATTTATTTTAAAACATACTTATATTAAACTATTTTTTTGAATTTTGAAACTAGTATTTTGTTTATAACAATATTTATTATTAAAAATGAACGGCAGTTGCTTATGAATGTAACATCTCCATTATGTAATTTGTATTAATACAATTTTTTTTTTTAATTTTTAAATTCTAATGTAGTAAACTGTTGGTTTATTTATTATCATGTTTGAATCATATTGTATTAATAACCAAATATTTCTGAGTATTTTTGTGTTTATTCAATGTAAATATTTTTTATTGATGTTGATTTTTTTTTGTGAAACAGAGATTATCAAATGAATTTCAAAATCAAGCTAAGCTTTTGCATGATATGGAAGAACAAATTTGCAACTATGAAATAGCAAATAAAAAAGAAGTTGCGAATCGTTTAAAAGATCAACTATCTTTATTAAAAGTGAGAAATTTGATTTTCTATTTAAAAGTTGAATTATTACTTAAATTGAATAAGTTGGTTTTTATTTTGATTTATTTTTCTGTATCATTGCTTAGAAACGCTTCTATCAGTTAGAAGAGAAATTTGAAAGATATCAATCTCCTGGAGATTTACCAACCCGTGTTACTAGAGTGTTGAGAGAATTACAATCCATTGAAAATACTATTTGTCTTTTAGAGCTGGCATCTGACGATCCTGATAGTATTAAAGGACAATTAGAACAATGCTTGGTAATTATTAAATGAAGTTAAATTATATTAATAAAATATAATGATTAGAATGTATAAACTATTCTTTGTATTTGGTATACTTACGATATATATTTTATTTAGAATTAAAAATCTAAGGAAAACTGTTTAAAAATGTATTTGGATTAAAGTTAATTTTATCGTATATAAATAAATGACTTAATACTTGTTCAATGTAACTTATTATTTATAACAAAATACATAATAAATAATTATATATAATTTTTGATTTTAATAGTAGAAATTTTTTTTTTACACAAAATAAACTTATAATGAGGCTTAAAATTGAATTCAAAATTACAAAAATATTTTATTTAAGATTATTTAATTTTTTTATGATTTAAAGTCAAACTGAAATATCTTATTTTTGTTCAAAATTGAATTTATGGTAATATAAACCATCAATAAACTAATTATTAACTTCAATAAAAAAGTAAATTTTAAATTTTAATTTCAAACTACAGATTTAATTATTTAATACATATAATAAAATATGTATCATTAGTTTATTACTTTAAATTAATACTTATTTGAAAAAAAAATATTACAGAAAATGAGTTCTACATTAGAAAGTTTAAAAAGTGAAGTAGAATTTGTGTTAAATTCAAATGAAAATTGTGAAAACCAACTTCAGCTAGAAACTATAAAACAACTGTACTCCAAAGTAAGTCAATTTTGTTTTCATTCAAAAATATAATTTAGAATTTAATTACTTCCACTAGCATTTAATGAAGAAAATATGGTCAGTTTTTATGTTAGCTTTTATTTAAAATAAACTTTCTATTTTTTTTTTTTTAAATTATCGTGTGATATTAAATGTAATTAAAAAATTATGACATAATAATCATAAAAATGTTGGAAATAAAGTGATTTATTATTCAAGATATTTATCATAATACTTTTACAAAATAGAAAAATATTCATGGAAATCTATCATAAAATTATGATTCTTTTAAAGGGCCTTTTACCAAATGCACTATTTAATCCATTTCTATAAAATCCTCTACTAATAATTCATTGTTCAACAATTAAATTTGAGTACTAAAATTGATAAAATATGTATTTTTTTTTAGTTGGTAAAAGATATTAATGACACTAAGTATAAGCTTGAAAAAGGTTTAAATGCTTTGGATTTCCTTGACACTAATATTAATCTTATGTCTAACTGGTTGGCTAAAGTGGAAGAAAAATTAGATGAATTTGAAAACACCCAATTACCTGAGAAAAATATGGAATCCAAAATTAAATTTACCAAAGTAATACTTATTATTATTTTTATTTTTGTTTTCACAATTTACAATGAATTATTATATTTTATAATAGCATATGTTAGACAAAGAAATTGACAAATGGGAAAAAGTTAAAAATTTAATTTTTACTCATTATACTGAATTTAAATCCCTCAAAGATCCTTTATGTGAGGATGATTCATATTGTGAACGATGTGATGTAATTTCTAATAGATGGACATTAGTTCTAAAAAGACTTCATGATAATTCAACACAAATGAAGGTTAGTTTAATAAGATATATTATTTTGTTTATAGTTATTATTTTGAAAATTTTTATAATTTTTTGCTTATTAATTTATTTTAAGTAGATCTTAAATTAACATTATTTTAAAATTATTTGCAAACTTTAATCTTTTTAACTATTGATGTAGAGTATAACTAAAACTATTTTTAGAATGCAATTATTTTATAAAAATCTATCAATTTTTTTTCTAGAATATATCTACAATAATGATAAATGAAAAATTAGGACAATTTGATAAATCCACAACATGTAAAGAAACATCTGTTCCTGAAATAACAATTACTGAAGAAAAAAATAAAAATAACCATAAAGAATTATTGGAAGATAGTGAAGATGATACATTCCAATTGACTAAAAACAGTATGTTATTTTCACAAGTATCGCAAGTAGATCCTATCATTTTTCAATCTTTTGTGAAACCTAAATGTGAAATTAATACACAAGAGTGTGTCATGGTTGAGATTAAAGAACATGAAATACTGAAATCTAGTGTTATTAGTCATGGTGAAGTAACTGCAGTTCACCGTGTAGTTCCTGAGGGTTATGCAGAAATGGTAGAGTTATCTGAGGATACAGAAACAGATGCAGATGAAACAGATGAGGAAAAATGGCCTCAAATTGTATATAGAAGAAAAAATACTGAAAAAAAATCATGTTTGAGCCCGTGTGAAATTTTAGTCAAGCGACAAAAACTGGCATCAAATGATTCATTAAAGTCTAGTTTAGAAAGCTTACATAGTAATTAATTTTTTTATTTTAATTGAATCTTATTTTTCATTCAATGTATTTTATACTTTAGGTAAGGAGTATATGGAGTCCTTAGAAGAAGAAGAAAAAAATCTTACTGATCCTGTTTGTGTTAAAGTGAACAAAACGCATCATACTACTATAACTGCATGGCAAACTCCTAAATCTAATAAAGAACATAAAGAAGTTATAATACGTAAAGAAATAGAATCATTAAATACATATAAAATTATTGGAGCTGTTCCTGAAGACAATGATAGTTTTTATGGTAGTGATAAAGAAACTGATGATTTAGTATTATTTTCAGAAGATGAAGGACTCAATGATAATGATAAGTATTCAGACTCTAGTTCATCTGATGAAGAACAATTAACAAAAGTAAGTAAATTATTTTATTGACTCTTTTACATTCAACTACTAATAAATATTATTAGTTTTAAATTATTTTACTGAAAAATTGAAAAAATATCATATTTTAAGATATTTAAATTTCAATACAATAATTTAAAAAATAAAGTATATTGAAACAGTACTCTATTTCTTAAATTCCACAATGTTTACAAAGAAATACGGCTATCTCCCAATATGCGGTCTACCTCCGTTTTGTGTGCTATGTAACTATAAATATGAGTATAGTATGCGATCTACCAATGTTATGTGTTCTACCTATAGCTGGGAATCCCACATAATTTATGTATTATCTACCAATTTATATGTTTTATCTTAATTTTTCATAATGATATATATTTTATCATGTAACAATACAGGTTACTGGGTTAGTTGGTATAGTGTCTTTTGTGGTAAAACAACTTTTTTAAATTTTGAGCTGAAAAAATAATTTTTAAAATGCTAGTTAAAGAATTTAATTCTTAGAGTACCTATTTGGAAAATGTTTTTTTATTAATGTGTTTTCAGTGTAAATTATAGTATGACATTTATAAATGAATTTCTTAATAAATTAAATTTTTTTTATTTATACTTTTAATATTATTACGGTAAATCGCATAATTTTGTGCTAAACCACATATTGGGAGATAGCCAATAATACAATTAATATTCAAAACAAAATTATTTTGAGTTTAATTTAATACAATCCATTATGTTTAAATAAATACTATTATTATACCTTTTATACTATATTTTAACCTTTTTGGTATAAGAACAAGTAGTTTTATTTTAAATAAATAGAAGTTATAAAATGTTTATATCAATTTTTCTATGGTAAAAATGTAATAATGCATACACACAAAAATTTATCATTCTTAAAATCTTAAATATTTAGCAATAAGATTCACAACAAAGAACTACAGAATGCAAAATATTTAGTGAATAGATGTATTACAACTAAATATTTGTAAAATTACTTTCTAATTGTTTTGCTGTTGCTTATACATATAATAACTATATGGCCTATACATTAGACAAATTATACAATTCAGTGATTATATAATCATAATCAGCTCACATATTAAAAATGTAATTTAAAGGAATAAATATTTATTATCATTATTTATTTATATTATATATGTTTGTATAAAATTATTAAAATTGACAAATATAATTTTGGTTGTGTATTTGCTTTTCAAATATTGAAATTAGACAATTCTTACAGTAAATATTGAATTAATTAATTATAAATCAGAGTCCATGGTCAATTAGGTGTGTAGTAGTAAAACCAGTTATGAGTGTGTGTGGTAATTTTTATAACATTATTATACAAATATATTAAAGTATTATATTAGTTTTATTTTAGTAATTTTTATATTTCAATAGTTTTTAGTCTTGTTATCGATTTATGTCATAAAAAGTTTCTTGAAAAAATAGTTGTTTTTTCTTATTACAATACCTTTGTACCATTTTATGTGTTAATTATCTTTTTTCTTATTTTATATTTATATTTTTTTTGATAAAAAGTAAAGAAATTCATTTTTTTAAATATATTGATAGTAGTGAAATCTGTTTTTAAAATACCTGTGGCTTTTGAATTAAATAAACATATATATTTGTTTATTTATATATTTATTTTTTATAATATTATACTATTATTGCACACAATTATTTATTACAATATAAATACATTAAAATATAATTTATTTGATAAGGTATCAAATAAATTCAAAATAGGTTCATTAAACAATAAGTAAAAAAAAAAAGTTATTCATAAAATATTTAATTAAAATTAAAATTTATAACGAATTTGATTATTAAACATTATGTTCAAAATGGTAAGATTTAATTTGTGATCTTCTTATTTCCTATATTAAATCCTATTTTAAAATTTTAGGGTATTTCATTTGTGAAGGAAAGAATTGAAAATGTAACTACTCCAAAATTATTAAATACATCAATAGTTAACAACATAGATGTTGATATTGAAAAATATGAAAATGAAGCAAAACAAATGCTAGCTAGAATGGAACTTACATTAAAAGATCTTCGACAATTAAATACGGAATCAGATCCAAATAAACGTTTTGAGGTATTTTATTTTTAATATCTTTACTTTTAGATATATTTTATATACTTTATAATTTTTTTTAAATAGTCTATTGAACAAGAAGTTAGTAATATAGCACCAGATGCAGCTACTTTAATAAGCAAAGGTGATAGTCTTATACTAGCAAGCTATACAGGTGATCCCTCCAGAGCAAACACTTTGTATACTTTAATTCAAGACAGACTTAGAGTAATGTGGACTCATATTATGTCAGAAATAGAGGTAGAAACTTACATAAGTAACATTTACTTTTATATAGTTATTTATTGAATTCATTTTTTTACAGATTGTTAAACTTCAGACACAAATGTTAAAGAAACAAGTGGAATCATTCAATAAAATAACTCTAGATATTGAAAACTGGATTAACCATAAGCATAATAACTCAGAGGTAAATAAAATTAAATAGTTTTTGATTGCATTTTTTTGAAAGTAATATTCTGCTGAGATAAATTAATTAAAATATATTATTAAAATGATTGTACATATATGTATATATTTATTTATAATTTTATTAATTTTAAGGTATTTGAACGGGAAATTAATAACAAATATGCTAATTTATTAGAAATGAATGAGATAATAGACGATACTGAAGCGTTGTGTTGTGATAAAGATGCTATTAATAAAATGAAATTGAAAATTATTGAACTTGAAAATAAGCTGAATAAATTAAGCCCTTTGTCTCAACAAGTAAGTATAATGCAAATAATTATTTTTAACTATTAACTTATATATATAAACTAATGGCTCAACTAGTACAGTATCTTAGAGGAGGATATAGACCCATTTTAATATTATACCAAAAGTAATCCATATCTTTATATGGATTATTTATTTTGAGAGGGCCTATATGTGAGAGGTCTAAGCTCCCCTAGCCCCCCCTCTCCTAGTTGTGTTTATGATATAAACTAATATATAATATGTTGTAGGAAAATGTCAATGTACCTGTAGAAGTGTTATCTCAAATAGAAGAGACAAGAAAAAATTTGAGTTCTTTATTAAAACAGTTAAACTTAATACCATTGTCAAATAATTCAGTTGCTCTTCAAAGTTCTAAGATTAAAGTATAATTATAAAAATTATAATAACAAAAATCTTTATTTCTATTAAATGTTTTCATTACAGGATATTCAAAGTAAAACTGAGGTTTTGAAAAAATCTATTGAAAATTTGAGTTCAAAAAATACTAATGATGAAATATTTGTGCAACGAAACATTGAAAAAATGCAGGAGACTTGGGAATTGCTTAATAAGTGTGTGATTGAACGGACTGGGTTAGATATTTAATTTATATTTTTATTAAATCTATAGCTAATACTTTTTAAAACTTATCTAAACATCATTTTTAGACAACTATCTAGTATAGATACAGAAATTACCAATTTACAACAAAGTGGTAAAGAACTATCTGAATGGTTGGCAGAAATTGAAAGTGATATGGAAGAAAATAACTTAACATTGACATTACAAGAGAAAAAAAATAAACAGCATAATTTAGAAAAGCGAGTGTCATCTAGACATAGGTAATTTTTAATTTAAAATAAAAATTTTATCATTGATAAATTGTTGACATTTTCAAGAGTATATTAAAGCTGTGGTGGTAAATTATATTATGTTTCAATAATTTTGTCTCTCATACCTTTTAACTAAATAGCCCTGTTAATCTTTCCCTTGTGTTTTTTAATTTCCAGTTTTTCTTATTATTTATTGAACTTAAAGAAATATTTTATTTATTAAACTTATAAACAGTAAATGTTTCTAATTATAATGTAGTAGCTATTAATGTTTTTCTAAAGTTTAGAGTACAACATACATTTTAATCTTTCGTTTATTTTTGTTTAATTCAACAGAACAGTTATTAGTTTTCTAAATTGTTCACGGACATTATGGTCACACTCAGACAGTTTCCAATCAGAAGTTGAGAGTTTAAGATTAAGATGGCAAGCAGTTTTAAATAAGCTGACAACGCAACGAGAAAAGTATGTGTATTTTATGTTCTAAATCTATCCCATAATTTTATCCAAGTTGTCAAATACTGGAAAGAAGGTGTTATTTTTACTCATTTGGCATTAGTCCAAATTTTTTATAATTATTTTGTCTAGGGATATATTATAAGTATTTTATTTTTGTTATTCTTTCTGAACTCATTCAGGTACTTTTGTTAACAATAAAATAGTTATCAGTTTTTTTATTTATTTTAATTTTTATGTTTATTAGAGTGAATGAGATGGAAAAATCTAAATCTGATTTTTCAAGTGCTGTATCTGCTACAAAAATTACTATTGATCAAACTTTAAATGTGCTTCAAGCTACGCAAGTCAATCCTTCTGAAGTTGATTCACTAAATTCAAAAAGTCGTTTATTAAAGGTATTTCTTATTTTTTTTAATAGAATAATTATTTTTAATTTACTCATCTATGTATTGTAATTTTATAGTCTAAAGAATTAGAGTTGCTAACTCGAAGAAAAGAATTAGATTCTATTAATTTAAAAAAATTGAAACAATCAAATGATCTCGAATCAATTAAATCACTTCTTGATAAGGTAATAATTTAAAATAAGTTGTTAACTTTCTAAAAAGTATTCAATTGTCATTGAATCATTTAAAAAATGTATACATTGATTAGTATTTTTATTATAATTACAATATATTTAATTAAGCAATTAGTAAAATATAAATGGTTATTTATCTTCTCTAAGTAATATTTTAGATCCTAAATGAAGCTCAGAATTTTTAGTTTTACAATTTTTTTTTATTTGTATGATAAGATTTTTGAGAAAAATTTGCTTAAAAACATTTTGGGAAGTTTTTGGTATCAAATTGTATCTAGTATTACTTAGAGATAGTCTTTTTGTTTTAGATTTTTTATGACTAATAATGATAAAATTTCAATCAATACTCAATAAAATGTAGGAATAATGTAGATTAACTACAATAATCATTAAATTGTCAACATTTTATTAAGCTTCTATGTGTGATTTAGGAATATTTATTATAATTAAATCAATTATTTTATTTGTTTTCGATAGATTTTTCATGTGTAAAAAAAAGTATTTGTCTAAGCATAATTAATATACAATTTTTTACTGTTAATAATTATCTAATTATCTTAGTTTCATATGATAATAAATTTTAATGTATAGCTTAATTATAAACTATGGAAATTATCCAGTTTAAAAATAATATTTAAAATTATTTACTAAAAAACTAAACATAACTTATTATAAATGAAAAAAAATATTTGTTTTATACCAACTAGTTATTATTGTGATATTAAGGTAACAATATTGAAATTTTAGATTACCGCTACTACATTTTTCAAAATCAAATTAATATATAAAGTGTTTAAATTGTAAGTTAATTATAAACTAAAAACAGATTAACACACTGTTTATAATTTTTTTCTAAAAAAAATTAAATATTGATTAAACTTATTTTATAGCCAGTAAATGTTAAATTAGCATTTTGATTTTTTTTTCTTCATTTGGATAAAACAAAATAAAAGATAATTTTCATCTTGTATAAGTCGGTTAAGATTTAATAATAAAAAATTCATTTTGGTTAAATATTACTTAAGAAAATATTAATGATTTACATGTATTTTTTAGGTTATATCCGATTTGTCTGATAATTTAGAATGTTTAAATGGAAAATTAAATGCTTTAAACAAATTTACAAGTCAACTAAAAGAATTAAATAGTTGGGTTATAATAAAAAGATCAGAAGCAGAAGAATTTCATATAAAACCTATTTCAGAGAGAAAATTAGCTATTGAAAAATTACAAGTAAGTTTTTCATTTCTATTAACATTGAATAAAGCATTAATTAACAATAGTTATATTTGTTATTTTAGTTAAACTTGTCAGAACGAAATGCAGAAGTAAAAGATATATTAGAAAATTTTACAAATATTGAAAAACAATGTGAAGAAATTGGTCAACCAGTATCTGTAGATTTACAAGTAAAACTATTATTATATTACTATTTATAAGTGTATTATTGTATATGTGTATACTGTTTTTTAAATTTCATAATTAATTTAAAAATATTTAATTGAATGATTTTATTTTAGGATATAGTTAAGAATCTTAGAGACAATTGGAATTATTTAAGATGTATAAATGAAAGTATTTTGAAAAAACCATCAGTTACATCTATTGAAGTAAAAAAAGGTGATATATTTTTTAAATTTTTATTTATATTTAGACTTGATGTACTCGATTTAATTTCATATCAAAATAATCAGTGATTCAACCAAAGAATATGCTTTTGTAGACTAAATCCCCCTTTGAGTTGCATTGATGTGAAGTATAATACTAATATGTGTATAATTTAAGTTACAAATTATTATTTGATTCATTACTGCTTTATTTTTCATAAGACAATGATAATTTGTTGTTGTTTTAGAATTTTACTTAATCATTACATCCTTAAAAATAATTTCTAGTTGTACCACTACTAAGTATAAAAAGACTTTAAAATAATATTTTCAACTATTTAAGGAATATTCTTCATTATATAATATTATTTATAGTCCATTAGAAAAATTAGTCATTATTAATTAGAGTCAAGACAGTGCTCTGACCTATTTTCTCAGGTAATTTACTCGAGGCACTGCCCTAAATCTATTATTAAGGGACTTGTACCTAAAAAAAAAAATTTTAAATTTTAATGGGTTTTGGCTGTAATTTAGGTAATGGCCATAACCACTTTTTTATTTATTAATATTGTATTCAAGTATTATCATATACATTTTTCTTTTAATAAGCAAATTTAACCCTAAGAAAACTAAATGGGTTCAGAAGATTTAGTTTGCCAGTTCCCGCCAATGCTTAGGTTTTTAGATGTTTAGTTTGTTTTAGATGGCATTAATTTAATATATAGTATTGTTATGTACATTTGCAACAAGTAGGTATACTTGTTATAATTATTTGTTATTTATTAGAGACTAGAGTTGAATACCTAAAGAATACATTATAGAATATAGTAAGATTTTTATTTTGTACTATCTACTACTGAGAAAAAATAGCTATTTAAATTAAAGTGAGTGGTAGCTTATCACAAACAGTTTACAAAAGAGATAATAAAAAATGAAAACATTAATAGCTCTAATCATAATTAAGTTGTGATTTATTTATTTTTTCATGATCTTGTTTAATCATTAGGTTTTAAAAGCACTTTTTAAAAATGAATATGTTTCAAGTATTAAAATATTCAATTAAGTTTTAATTGCATAAAACGATTTATTTTTGCATGAATAATCGGTACCAAATAATTTAACGGTATGGTATTAAATATATTGTTAATTTATTCGTTATAAGTTATAACAAATTAATCGTGTTGAAATGATACGGGGAAAATATGCCACCCTACATTATTATCAAGACAAAACTTTAAAACCATTAAAAGTTTTCGCATTCAAGTTAGCGTATCAAATAATAGTGCATATCGTTAAGCTTATAAATCAGTGTGGTGTTTTTTTTTAGTTCTATACTCCTGTGGGACTTTTATATTATGCAAAAGAGTGAACAATTTCCCAAGTATGCAACATCAATTTGAGTTCTTAAAGGTTGGGTTCGGGTATTTTTAAGATTCGTAATCAACTTATATAACTACGACGATACGTCGCGATAACTTAGATCTCTCCGTACGCGGTACATAGAATATCGGAAGTTAAAAAAAAATATCGAGGCAAGCTGTCTCACGTCTCGGTGTTTGGATCAAACATTTAATGTTATATAGTTAATAATTTATCTTTAATTATTATTTATCACGGTGTCTGTCCGTGATGAAGACGCTGTCGATGTCGTGTAGGACGTGCGCGAGGATCGATAATGCGAAGAGTGCAGGAGAAAACTTTGGAATATTAACACTGCCGCCTAGGGGTTTTCGTCCTGACGCTGTTACGCGCACGTGTGGGAGAACGTAGTGGTGGCAGTGTAATGATGATAGTGCGGTACTAGTAGTAGTACTTTTGGTGGGTGATTGGGTACGTATGTGCGTGCGTAAGTCGTACCCATTCGTAGCTGTCGGTCGCGCATTCAGCTTTTGCCAAGTCTACACTACTTGTACTCAGCGGAGGGAAAAGTGCCGGTCGTCCAGCCGCGCGCGTACGCCACGACTCCACCCACTTGTGTGTGAATCGATGAGGGTGTCCGTCGCCGCGCGAGTACACGGAACACATCTCGTGCGCGCTACTTGTTCCGGTTCATCCGCGCGACCCGCATCGGCAAGACATCCCTTTCCTCAGCCACCCGGGTGGCATTCAGCCACGCGGCCGCCGCCGATCATCCCCATTTTGTTTACTTATAGAGTCCGTTCATATTTTTTATTTTTTCACACGTTTTCTTTACAATTTTTTCTACGTACCTAACCGTTACTGCACAATTATCGATACACGATTAAAGGGCCGTTAATCCATGGATCATGTTTCGATTGTAAGTACAATAATATCATCGCCTCGTTCTTGACGAAACTTTAATAATATTCCTACACGACCTCGTAATATTCTTATTTTAGATGATATCTACATCGATGTTGAAGGTTTTGGGTTCGTTGTGTTTTTTAGTAGTAAGATGGTGTTTGATTTTGTTAGAATTTCTTTGCGTACTTTTAAAAAAAATTTATCACGCTCATGTTTTTACATAAATTAAGTAACGTTTTTTTTAATTTAATTATTTATTATTAATCCTTTTGGTTGTTTTTTTTTAAATTTTTAAATATATTTATTGTATTACGAGCTTGATTTACTTGCTCTGATTTATTTAAACTTAAAAAAAATGTATTTATGTTTACATCTTCATTTTAATTTATGAACATACTAGTTATTGTTGAAAATAATCTAACAGCATACAAAATTTGATGTCTAGGGTGGTATTTTATGACGGTATTCTTATAAGAAATTATTTATTTTACAATTTTATTTGATACATTTAATATATTTTAGCTTATTAATTAGTGTCTACAACGACTATAACCTATGTTTTATTCAACTTATTTTAACTTAACTATCTGTTTAAATAAAACAGTTAAAAGTAATATTAAACTAATTTAATTTTAGAATATAAATAAATTACCATTATTTACCAATTTATTGCTATGTAAATTTGATATTATATATTTGTTTTAATAATTTTGTAGCAGAAGAAAATTGGAAGAGTCTAACAAAAAATGCCTCCGAAACACATCCCCGTTCAAGTTTACGATCCCTATCTCCTGCCAATTCATCAGATGCACTTCTCAATTTATTAGCTAGTTTTGATAAATCAATTCTTCAGGTATTAATTTTTATAGAATGAAAATGTTCAAATTTTAAATTATTATTTGTTTTAGATTTGTGATTGGTTGGCTTTAGAAGAAAAGATGCTGCGTCAACAATCAGTTACTGTTGGGGATGTCGACGATATACTTCAGCTCATCGATAAACAAAAGGCAAGTATATGATTATTTAGATATTTAATTTATGTTAAAATGTACAATTGGAATTATATAATTGTATACATAAAAAATTGTATAATTGTATAATGAAACTGAAATTATAGTATTACATTCTCAACATTTAAATTATTTTTATAAATTCTAGCATAAAGCTATTTATTTCAGATTTAAACTATTTGTTATCTAAAATTAACAGACTTATAAACCTTATATGTTATAAAGATAAATTATCACGATCAGAAAATATTTATGTTATCTCTTTAACTTAAAAAAGTTTTATATATTTTATCTTCCACCTATTTCATTTTTTAATGTTGTAAATAGCAGATATAAAATTTCAAGATACAAAGGGGGGTAGGGAACAAAACATTATTTTTGAGGTCAAAGCCAACTAGTATAATATTGAAATTGTAAATTAATAAATTGTTATAACTTATGATATTTCCTATCATAAAAATAAATTTAAGTTATTTAAATTTACTAATAGAAAATCTTTATAATCCAGAAATTTTCTTAGCAAATATTTGATTAAATAAATATTTTAACTTAGTAGTTAGTATCATTATGCTGATAATTAAAATCAATTATTATTTAAATGAAATTATAACAATAAACAAATAATAATAATAATAATAATAATAATAATAATAAAATAATACAATTATATCTCAAAAATATTTAACTTTGTTAATACTTTATTTTTTAAATTTAAATTTAAGATCTCTTTGTTTACAAAATTTTGATTTATTTATTTATTTTTAGTTATTTAAGATTTATTATAATTCAAGAAACCTTAATTTTTAAATTAACATTTAAATGTCAATATCTCTTAAAAAATAAATACACTATGTTATAATAACATAATACATAATTTTATAAAAATTATTAAAATGATTATTTACTTAGTTATATGTATGTAAACACAGTTACCATAGCAATATAATGTCCTTATGGTTTCTTATATATTTTTTTATTTATAAGATGATTTTGTCTATTATCTTGTGATTCAAATTATCATTTTCATTTATTTTTTAACAATATATATCATATGTTATATTTATTGAAAAATATATTTTAATATTATACTTTTTTTTTTTTTTTTGATTTTTCACCCAATTGATCTTACTTACTAGTTTTAAATTACATAATGTTATTTTCTGCTAATACTAAAAAATTTTTAACTAAATAAATAAATAAATAATTAATTAATTTAACATTGTTCAATATATATTCTTATTAAAAGTATGTAAAAACTAATATAATTTGTTTTTTTACGTGTAGAACGTATTACAGGAGTTGGAACAAAAAAAGCCTCAACTTGATGAACTAGTTCATACTGCTGAAAACCTTAAAGCTGATTCAAATCGACAACAATTACATGGAAAAGGTAATTTATTGTTAATTTTTAATGAATGATGTATATTTTATATAATATTTAATATTATTATTCTATAGTTACTAAATTGCGTGAACATTGGGATGAAACAAATAATAAAGTAATGCAACGTAAAACTGAATTAAATGCAATGTTGAGTGATAGTCAACGTTATGAAACAAAAAAAATGGAAATAGATACTTGGTTGACTAGAATGGAGAATAGACTACAGCGAATGAGTTCAGTCGGTAACACAGCCGATGTATTAGATGCACAACAGAGAGAACAAAAAGTATTGAACAAATATTATCAAATTTAATTTAAAATGAATACTAAATATTAATTTTGTTTCTGTGAATTGTAGTCATTCCATGTTGAGTTACATCAATACAAACACCAGATTGACTTATTTAATCAACTTACACAAAAATTAATTGCAGTTTATCAAAATGATGATACTTCTAAAATTAAAAAATTAACTGAACAAATAAATCAAAGATTTCAAAACCTTAATACAAAGTAAATTTAGTTTTATGAGATACATATGAGATTGATATTATATTTAATTATTAATTTCTTATTTTCTTTTTAGCATTATAAGCCGAGGAAAAGTATTACATTCAGCGATGAATTCCTTGCAAAATTTAGACAAATCTTTTGACAACTTTTTAGGATGGTTGTCTGAAGCAGAATCATCTATGGAAACAATTGAAGCTGAATTCGATAGATGTAATACACTCAAACGAGAAAACACTACAGCAATGAACCAATTAAAGGTACGTGATTGATTACATTATATAATATAAGTTTAAATAATATTTGGTCTTTAAATATTATTTAATTAGTAATATTGACTAAAGATTCTGTGCCTTATATCTAAGGCTCTCATTATTGTTATAAAAATAATGAATGTCAAAATGAATAAAATATTCATATTTGCATTTACATTTAATAGTTGACATTTTATTAAAAATATTTCGGAAAAGGTGAAATTTAAGCTAAAGTTTATGCTATATTGGTCTAGAAATATAATATAAATGTTGAGTTAAAATATTATTTTATTGTAATATTGTGTATGGTAGTACTTTTCTTTTATGTAAACTAAATTATTTATTTAATTATTGTTGCTAAATTAATTTTTTATAGCAAAATTTATAAATTGCTAATACTTATAGATTTAATATTATATTATATAACACTAATAGGATATCGTAAAAGTTATTACCTAATCTATAATTAGAAGTTACTAATACTTTTTTATGAATGAAATTTCTGCATAATACTATTTTATTTTTTTTCATCAGTAAAATTAATAACTGTTTAATACAAAGTTGATCATATAAGATATTAAGTATATAATACTAAATATTACATGCTATAATACTCAAAATTTTCATAAAATAATAGAAATGAGTATTACTTTTAGATAATGAAGTGTATACAGGTAAAGGACATGGATGCTTTAATGAACAAATTAAGAAAATAGAAAGATGTAATAAAAATAGTATTGTAGTCATCAGGAAATTTTGATAATGAGATATCTAAAGTAAATATAAGTATGAATAGTATGATTGATATAATAGAAATTTTGGTGAAAGAAAAATACAATTTATGTTTAAGTATTAAAATAAATGATAAGTTTAATTCAGTGTATGAAGTATTTATATCGATTAAAATTTTAAATTATTATTCAATCTACCTAAATCTATGCTAGTAACTTTTATAAAAACTTAAAATTACTCTTTAGAAAATAGTTTTTCTAAGCATTTTATGATAATTTTCTTTAATTTTCCCACTAAATAACAAAATATTCCAAAAAAAATTTTTTTTTAATTAGTTCAAAAATGGTCAGAATATTTTCAAAAATATACTATCTCTGTAGAAAATGTTAATATAAACATTTGGTGAGTATGATTTTCAAGTATCTGTAGTTATTTGTTCTTGAAATTCTACAAAATAAAAATAGATTTTGTCAAACACCTGGTTTTGTATTATAATTTTAATATAAACTAAAAGTTAAGGAAAACGAGAAATCTTACACATTAATTAAACCAGTTTTTAACTGATTTCTTATATTTGTCATAACTTAAAAACAAATATTGTAGGTTTTTAAAATTTTCAATAAATATTTATACTATCATTTTTTTGTGTATAGTATGATTTTCAAAGTATTTTGATTCCTTTGAAGCTACTTATAGGCGTGAAAAAATTTAATTTTAATTTTTTTTCTATTAATTAATTATATGAAAATACGTATGTTCTGTAAGTTTAATACAAGATTTCTGACTTGTAAGTTGTTTTAACATTATCTGTACGATAATTATGAAAATAGATACGTTTTTTTTTTTTATGCATTTGAAGTTCAATGTTTTACAAAATTTGTCAAAATCACAAAAATTTACAAACTAAAAATATTTATTAGCAAAAAATTGTAAATTTTTCAAGCTAAAATTTGAAAATTAAATGAAATATTTCTCATAAGTAATTCATATATTATATTGGAACCAAAATATCTAAAAAAAAAGTATACAAACCCTATTTTTGTAGCTCAAATTTGAATAAAATTAAGTATTTTAACGAGTAATAACGATGTATATTATTTTGCTATATTTCAAAAACATTATTATAGTAATAAAATATACATACAGTCAGACAATATAAGTACGGTATTTGTTTAAAATAGATTTCCGTATGCAATAAGTCATCTTTGTATTCAAATTTAACATATACATGCCACTAACTTACTCCATGACGAGGTACATTGTTATTTACCGTACAGTGGTTATCCACTTTTTACCTTTCCCTCTCTTCTTATTCTTCATCTGGCTCATAATACTCTAAACATTTTCACCGTCATTACTAAATCCCTCAATTTTTTTCGATCCTAGGATAATTCTCTTCATTCTTGTACTTCCACTCTGTCAAGGTCTTTTTTTACTATATTTAACTATATTTATCTTGGTCGCTTTTGAGGTCGTTTTTCAGTTGACTTCCACTTCAGGACTACTCACTTATATCATGCTCATTTCATCGCCAGATGTGCCCTAACCATTGAATCTTTTATCCTCTTGTGAATCTTACTACTGATGCCATTTTCATTTCTTCTGTGATTCTTTGTTAAATTTTCTTTTTCACGTTCCTTTTCATTACCATATATTGATCCACATATTTTGTTTTCGGAAGTCTCGATTTTTCTTTTAGTAGTACTACTGATATGTCATGTATCGCAACCATATGTAAATGTAGGTTTTATTATTTCCGTGTAAAGCCTTGCTTTTTTTAGGGGGGGATGGAATACTTTGGATTTTAAGAACTTACTTTGAGAAAATGATGCACTTTTAGTTTTTGTTATCCTTAAACTTATCTGTCTAGTCCAGTCATTCTTTTTTAAACTTTTTTGAATAACCGTTTTTTTTTCTACCGTGTTTAGGAATATTTTCTAAATTGATATAAAAATAATAACTTTTGTGGTGACCATCGCTTTTTAGTTTATCATTAGGTACAAAATAATTAATTTAAGAAAATTGGAAGCGGTAATTTTCGGTATTTGTCTGCCACACAAGGGTTATAGAAATTTAGACGTATTTTTATTCCAATGTACCGCCGATTGATCTAGTGAAGCTATATGAATTTTAAAAACAGATTTAAATTTATCGTTAAGTCTACTTGAGATTGACTTACCTAGGTTTTAATTTTAATTCCCATGACTTTTAAAAATGCCATACTAAAAAATGAATAGTTAAAAAATAGAATATTTTAATTTTTGCAGAAAAAGTTAAAATTAAAAAATCTGAGGAAATCGAATTCAAGTAGATTTGACGACGAATTAAAATCTGTATTTAAAATTAATATTGTTTCACTAAATCAATCGGGACATTGAAATGAAAACACGTCTAAATTCTTCCTATATTTCATATATATTAGACAAAAAGAAAAACCACCGCATCCAATACATAAAACGGAATTACAGACAATCTCAAACAATTTTTTTTTTTTTACACACTAAAACAGTGTTAATAGAAAAATATAATATAATGTTTCCAATCACCTATCGTTTTCTTCTTTTTCATCCGTATATTCCACCATTATCTATATATGTGGTAAATCCATTTAATCACCAATAAATAAAAATTTTAAAATATTGAATTTATATCGGGTGATGCATATTAAAGAATACTATTAAAAACTATTACCTAACGTTTTTTAAAAAAAAAAATTGTTTTAATGTTTTAAATAATTGAAAGTCCTTACAATATACTCATATATTTACTTTATTTTATGATTATAATTTCTGGAATGACGATTGACGATATACATTTTTAATTTCATATTCAAAAGCAGAATATTATTTATTTTCTATACTACTCGAAATATTTTGATGTATAAAAATCAAATTTCGGACGAGTAGTTAATTCGTATCATATTTTTTTTTCAAAAATATTTTTGTTAATTTTATGAAAGTTGTGTGCAATTAACATTTACAACTATGATAAAATAAAACAAAATACAATTTTTATTTTTAATATAAATATAATATAAAGTTTATTCTAAATTGAAAATTTAGTTCTGGATTTTGGATTAGTTAATAAGTTTATGATTATAATAGTTAAACCAATTATAATTACGTTATGTTAAAAAAAAAAAAAATGAATGTTTATCATTAAATGAATCATCCGGTTCATTGTCTATGTGTAAACAACCATATTCTCAATAAAAATTGATTGTATTTAAAATTAAATTTTAAATGGCACACTTAATAATCAAAAAAACTATTTCCACTGTACTATTATTTTTTGAATTTGAACTTATATTTATTTAAGTTTAAAACCTTAATTTTACTGTGATATTTCAGTATTTATATTTTTATTGAATAATAAATAATGAATTAAAATTAAAAATTTAGTGAATAATTAAAACATAAAAATTTTGGAACTTTAATAAATATTTTATGTGAACGGTCATACTTGATAAAAAAAAAAGACAGATATTTTGTAGCCATCTGGATTTTATTAGATTTAAAATGGATACTACAAGCGTGTATATGTCAGTTGTTATCTTACACTCCTGTCCCTGTCAATATCTGTACAAACGATTGCTTTGTAATATTTTTATTATAATTGACATTTCTATCTCGAACGACAAGTTTTATGTTTTATGATATAATTAACTTTAAACAGTAGACACTCGTGTTTTTTTTTTTGTAAATTGATAGTTTAACTTACTTGTCAGTCTAGTAGAAATAGTGTATGTATATTTTCTAATATATAAAATTATAGTATAGTATAATCATTAATCATATTTTATAAAAATTAAAAAAAAAAAATTATTGAGTACGAAATTTGTGTTATATTTACTAAAAGTTAGTTTAAATGAGAGTGTATCAAACAATAAAAAATATACGTAATGTATATTAAAACTTTTATTCAACAAATAGTGGAAAGTTAAATGTTAAAATTAAGTCGGCGTATATACAAATAAGAAGTAATATCTCTTTAATCGTATTTCGTATAGTTCATATTATTTGAAAGTCTGAACATTAATCTAAAATGAAGGGTAAGTGAAAATATATAGTAACAATATTATTATTGATCAATGTATAATTTATTATAGATACTATTAGACCAAGGGGAATAACAATCTTAAATAAAATAATATAGGAATGGAATGTATCAATTGAAAAAAGTGGTTCATCTCTCTATATCTTTCCCTCACCTCAATCATTAAGTGTTTTAAAAATGAGCAATCACTTGAAAGAGGTAAATTAAAATGAGTTAAT